TTTTTTTTTTTTTTTTTGGGGGGGGGGGGAGGGGTTGTGGTTCTGTTCAAAATTATGGAAAATGTCATTTTTGTGGTGATCATGGAAACTGCTGGTTTTCAAGGTTTCCGCAAAAATCATGAAACTGTGATCAAAGTAGTTCCCTACCTATGCTGCCACAACCACTTAAGCAGTTCTGGGGCTCTCCAAGGCTGCTCAAGCAGTGGCAGAGATTCCTAGAAAAAATGAATATCCAGAATCATGGCAATGTTAATTATTCCAGATAACTGACCTCTACTGTCCCTGGAGCCAAGTGTAGTTTCTCTTGTTAAATGTAATAACAAAATGCTGATGGCCTGCATCTCTCCATACTTTTTTCAACTGCTCTGTAAAAAAGAACCCTCTTCTGCAGCAGATGAGATGTGGGAAGTTTCAGTTGAAGATGGAAGTTTCACAGTTATTAAAAAAAAACCAAAAACAGCTTTTTGGAAGAGAAACTTGGCATGTGTAGGCAACCTTAAGTGTACGGATTACACGTGGCACCAAGTACAAGTCTATCCAGAAGATATTCTATGAGACAGTCAATATGAATGTACATACCTGAATAAAGACAGGACTACTAGGAAATTCTGAAGTTAGTCAGACAGCTTCCATGTGCATAAAGAGTTACTATATTGAATAAAATAAAGATTCTCACCAAAGTGTATTATTTCATTCACCAGATGGATTTTCTAGGTACACCTAAAAGAAAAGTAACACATTTAACAACATTGCACACAGTCAGTTTTTTGATGTGCATTCTACCATATATTTGCAGCCTGCCTCTCTCTACACACCCCATCTCCACAGTTTTGAAAAAGATAGGACTAGTCCAAGCACAGAATTAAGGAGCCAATTTCCAATGAATTTTGTTGTCACTGCTACATCAATTCATTCCTGGGCAAAAGGGACAAGATGTACTCACTCCACTTGGTCTCCTGTAGACTATCACAAGGCCTGAAAACTAAACAGCATCAAGATGGAGCCTCTCCTTAATAAGGTGGGAAACTAAAATAGGCAGTTCATGAAACATACCAGCTTCCATTTTTAAAAAAAGTTTGGTTTCTAATCATCATGCTTCTGCAAGCAGACTTCTAAACAAGCTGATACAGCACTGTGAGCATGCAGGTGGAAAACCCCAAAGTCTCTGATGCTTACACCTGTCTCAGACAGTGGTAATGAACTCTACCAAACTACTCTCTTTCAATGCTACTGTTCAGAACTCTGTGGGGCATAAATGAAATAGACAAGAATCCGGTCATTTTCACTTTTACCACACTGCTTGGCAAGACTACAGTAGCAGCTGCAGCAGGCACTGGAGGAACTATTTCCCACCAGGGGCCTCAGAAGGGGTGAAGAACTAAGTTCCTTGTATTTGACCCCAAGCAGTCGGGAGGCTTGGATACAGCACTGATGAGAAAAAAGTTCCTCTTCTCTTCCTACAGCCACAGAGGACTTCACAACTTATCTGACCCCTGCTAAACAGAAAATACCACTACAGAAAGAACCCTAGCACTTTCCACTGCAAAATAAGTAGAGAAAAAGAACAGAGGCAGGAAAGAAAGCCCTCCCATTAAGGTTCTTACTAGGATATTGGCATGTGGCACATGCATAGCTCCCAACAATTTAGCTGTCCTATTTTAATACTTTCCAAACATCAATCCAAAGTTTAAGTTCTAATCATCACGAGTTCAGAATCCACCCAGAGTATATCTGGGTCTCGCATATCAGCATGCCTTTTTTTTTTTTTCCAGTCCCTAACAAGAAATCTGTTTCAGCTACTTTAGGTGAGGAGAAAGTTTACTGGGTAACTGAAACACAAGACCTGCAGCATCAAAAGCACCATATGCTCAGCTAGGAATGCAGTTAAGAGCGAGTATGTAACAGCAGTCTGCCCATAGTATTATGGAGAAGCAAGACTCCAGTTAAAAGCAGCATGGCTGCTGCTCAAAACCTAAACATGCAAGCTTCTCTAAAACCTACATACAAAGCAGCACCAGTCTGGAAACAAAACTGCCACTCTGAGGTCAGGGTGGTGGGATTCAGGACAGATTTGGGATCAGTTGGCCAAAAGGTTTCCTTCCCCCAAAAAATAACCTGCTCTTAAAATTATGATCTTTCTCCCCCCCCCCCCC